ACGCTATGTAAGCTAAGCGGAAGACTCCCTCCGTGCTCAAGGCAGGTGTGATTGACATGCCACGCTGTCTCTGGCTTTCTGACTGACCTTTCTGGCATGCAGAACTTGAACCACGGCATTCGGGCAGGTGTGGAGGTCCTGCAGGAAAACGGCGAGCCGCTCGTCTGTGACTGGTAAGTCAGACAGACCGAGAGAGATGACGGGTGTAGACATCCATCCAGGCTGGTCTGTCTGCGTGTTTTTGTGCAGGTGGGGGCGGTTGGAGAACCTGCTGCCGCGGCGAGAGGAAAGGCTGTCTATCGTGTTTGCCTTCGCTGACTGTCTGGATGATAAGGACACGGCGGGGGAGCGGAATAGTAATGACGTGTCCAAGGAGACGAGGGAGGCCGAGGTGCAGGCGACAACAACGCACCAGTAGCAGTAGTGAGATGCGTCCGTGACGAGGTCTGGCGAACGAAGTTTGATGGTGTGCACGTAGCGGGTGCATTTGTTATCTACGCGGACAAAGAGAGAAAGAGAAACGGGCTTCCACTGAGATGATGATATGAGTCAGCCTTCACGTAAATGGATGAGACCATCCCTTCCTCAGTACTACTATCCGTTCCCTTCTGTATGTCCTACATGCTGCTGGCAGCTGCTGCGATAGATACACCACTTACCCCACCACACCCCCCCGCCCCCATATATGTGGCTGTCTCTCATTACTCACTCGACGTGTACGAGCATGGATGCGATCCGCGGCATCTGGCCGCCCGGCAGCGCCAAGTGCTGCGGGTGGTCCGCCGACGCGCCCCCCTGGCACACCAAGCGACACGTTCGCCCCACACACAGACACGCCCTGCATGACATGACATGGAATGACACACACACGACAGGGAAGAACAACAATCAACGATGGGCTAGGTCGATTGAGGGACTCCCCCCCTGACCATAACACACAACTTACCTTCTTGCCGCGTCCCTCAGCTCTGCCGGTCCCACGTCTCGATGTGCAGAAGATATGAACACCAGCCCATTCGGAGCTGTCACTTGCAGTGCTGCCGTGAGCAGCTTCGCATAGGGCTCGGACGCCAGCCTCTTTTGCGAGTGCATCATATCCCCGGCCGACTTAGCCACAGCTGACGGAGGGACTTTCCTTTGCGGCGAGAGGGGCGGGGGGTCCATGATAATGACATCCCACATGTGGCCCGACGCCTTGACGCGCTCCTCCCACTCGACCGGGGGCGGGGACAGATACGGACCCGGCGACTTTCCCATCATTGGGTGGGCGGAGTCATCAGAGTCGCTGGCGCCTTCGGGCAGGCTGTTGCGGTTGTGTGGGTGCCGCAGATCCGCGAAGTGCTTCAGGAGCCGTTCAGCCTTGGCGTGGACGAAGTGGACTCTGTCTTGGAGCATGTTGACCTGGGCGCTCTGGCTGCCGTAGTCGATGGACGAAGACAGCGAGTCCACACACGTCACGTGCCGCGCACCGTGGGCCGCCGCCTGGATGCCGAAGGCCCCCACATAGGAGTACAGATCTGCAGACACCAGACAGACAGACAGACAGCCTTTGAGGGTGGGAATCGCATCCGTCCATCCATCCACCCACCAGTGAGTGCCTCACTTGACTCGCTCACCGAGAACTGTTTTGTCTTTGCACAAGGGCACGAGCAGCGCCCTGTTGTCCCGCTGGTCGTAGAACCACCCCGTGCGCTCGCCCACAAGCAAACTCACCTGCACGTTAGTGACACAACAAGAAGGCACACACACACACACGTCATCCGCGCGCACACACAAGGGAGCGGCTGCATGGAAGCTTGCCAAGAATGTGACGCCGTTCTCGCGAATCTCAGTCGGCGTGCGATACGGTCCTGACACAGGCAGCAAGCAATGTGCCGTCCACACATGGCCATCCATCCATCCACCGACCCATCAATCATATCGCGTACCTCTGAAGACCTCGGTGAGCAGAGGCAGCCTCTCAAGGCCCCGTGCAGAGCTGTCGTTGCGCAGCAAGATGACGGCCGGCTGGAGCAGCTCGTCAAGAGCGGCAATGAACGACCGGATGTGGTCGTCCAGCCCTGCCGCATTCACCTGAAGCACCACCGTGCTGCCGTACCTGACGCATCCCATCCAAACACACAACACGTTCGAACACACGAAGGAAGATACACACACCGCACCGGCGAGGTGACGTGGCACGGTAAGGTAAGGTACCTACCTACCTGTCGACAACGATGCCTGGCAGGTGGTCCCCCTCAGCGTTGACGAGTCGGTAGAACTCTTCGCCAGGGTAGATCTGCTGCCGCAGCTGCAGCGCCCTCTCCAGCCGGGTGAGGAAGAAACCCTTCTCCACAGTCACGTGGCGATCGCGCGACAGTATCCTGGTGGACAGACGGACGTGTAGCCATGGACAGCGTGTGTGAGTCTGTCTGTGTGCTGTGCTTGTGCTGGGTGGGGTGGGGTGTATGGGATGACCTTACCTTGCGGCGATGGACGAGTGCCGTGTGTATGCCGCCACCCCCCAGTCCACGCCGCTGTCGCTCTCCACATTCACCAGACAGGGGGAATACACCTGCAACGATTCTGACACACACCCACACCCACACCCACACACACACACACAACCATCCAACCATCCAACCACCAACCGTCCATCGATCACAGTGCAAATGCACTCACTGCAAAGGACAGCGCTCACCCACCTGTGTTGTCCACATCCGCCGCCAGGATCCATGGCGACCCCCTGCGCACGTAATGCAGGCTGTCACTGTCACGGCTGCCGCGAATCCTCAGTGTCGGCCTCTTGTGTGGCGCATCGGCGCCGCCTCTCATTGACGCGTAGCCGCGGGCCGCGCCCACGCCTCTTGCGAGCAGGAGATCTGACCTCACAGCCACGCGGACCGCCGCTGCCATCTTCCTGCAGCAAAGATGCCGCGGGTTCATCAATCATCCGTGAGTATCACTCACAGATAGAGATGAGCAATACGTCCACTCTGTGCAACACCGCCTCGTCTTCATCATCTTTGAGCTCGCACCAGACCTGAGCGCACTTACCTCGCTTCACATCTCTCTGCATCCCGAACGGTCCTGTCATATCGCAATCGAGGTGAGGATGCGCGAGAATCCACTTCTCACACACCAGCTGCATGTACGCCTAAGGCTTGTCATCCCTGTCTGTCTGTCTGCCTGCCTGTCTGTCTGTCAGGTACACCTTACGCCATCCATTCGTCGACGCACAATGAGCAGTGCCATATCCCGCAAGACCGACAAGAAGCCCTCGCCGCGGACCTCCGTCGGCTCGGCGTCCACTGCGACGCCCTCCCGACCGGTTCCCACCACCAAGGGCACGGCGGCGGGCACTCCTGGCCCTGGCATATTCTCCGCGGCCAGCACGCCGGGCGTGTATCCTGTTCCCGTGCCGAGCGCCGATGGGACGAGTCCGTTTGGGTGGGACTGCAGCGATGAGGAGTACCAGCTGCGGCAGTTCGACATGGACTCCAAGTATGGACCATGCATGGGCCTCACGCGGGTCAGCAGGGAGAGGGGTGAGTGGTGGGTACTCGAGGGATTGAGTCTTGTTTGTATGTGTTTTCGTCGGTCTTGCCTCTGTGGTGTGTGTTTGTGTGTGTGTTGCAGGAGGAGCGCTGGAAGCGTGCAGAGACGTTTGGTAAAAACCCGCCGCCTGAGATCCTCACACTCATCCACCAGACCACCGAGAAAATGTGAGAACGTTGGGCATCCATCCACTTGGACACACTTGATGCCGCAGCCACACACACAGGGAGAAAGCGACCGAGCAGCTGTTGTGTTGTGCTGTGCATTTTGTGTGTCTTGTGTTGCATCCATCGCGCCGCTCAGGTCGATCTTTGACCAGCGCCTCACCAAGGCCGACCGGATGTAGCTGACCGACGGGCTGCAGAAAGCACGGCACGGCACAATCGAGGATGCATGGACGCATGGACAGACGGACGGACGGACGGACGGATCACGGACTCCCCTCCCTCCCCTGTGCATAGATAGTGTCTGTTTTTCGGTCCGAGTGTGGTGGGAGTGCGCGAAGCGTGCCGTGCCGTGCTGTCTTATATATATTGTAGGATGGATGATGAGAGGAAAGGAAGGAAAAGACACCCACTCACCCATGGAATGACTGGGCCTCAACCCGATTTGTAGCGCGCACGATGGCCACACAGTCTCTATGACGGACGGACAAATCCAAGTCATCAGCTCACATCACCTCACACAGCCAGCCAGCCCACCTTCCTGCCTACTACCCGTGCGTGAGTACCAACCAACCACACGACAAAATCGTCCCATGCGATGCGATGGCTGTCTAGTTAGCTATGCCTGTGTGTCTCATTTCCTCGGCAGCGTGCACTGCGACAGATGGATCTCCGACTGCACGGCGACCTCGCCGTCACTCGACTGCCGCAACTGAACACACCACAACACATCACGACACACGCACACACACACATCCCTCCATCCTTTTCACGCACACACCCCCACACACAAACACCCGTTAGTACCTGCAGTCTCATTTTCCTTTTTCCCCAGTGGATGTGGACAGTGCCGAAGTGCGGCTCGGCGACGTAGCCCTTGTCGCCATGTGCCCTGAGCTTGTAGGGGTCGTTGTGCTCGAAGGGCACCTCGACGGTGCGGAACGAGGGGTCCGCCTTGGCGCGGTCGACCAGGGGACGCCAGTCGTGCACTATGTCCTCGGTCAGACCGCTGGCCATCACTGATATGTCGATGGATGATTCAGTGGTCAACAGAAACAGGGACTGTGTGTGTGTGTGTTGGTCTGTTAAGCTGTGAGGCACCCACCTTGGTAGAGGGGATAGGGCATGAGAGTGGAGGAATAGTTCTTTGCATACGGCGCTTTGGTGTCCGGCCGCAACACCTATAAGCGCACACACACGCAGACACAGACACACATGCACATGCATGTGGGAATGCGAATGCCCCGCCATGTCATGTCATGTCTGTGAGGCGACCGACCTTGATGTCTCCCCAGTGGAAGTCGCCGACAAGCAGCACCACACATGAGGCGCCCGAGCGTGCAATGGAGGCCAGCAGCTGCCGCTGGGCCGGCCGGTAACACTCCCAATTGTCATACGAACCTGGAACAAGCTCACGCCCCTCTATGGATCGATCGACATATAAACATATGAACACACACGCACACACATCCACTCACACATCTACTCACACAACACAACACAACACAACACACACTGACGCACCGTCTTGCGGCCCACAGGCATCGGGATTGAAGAGCACCACCGAGGAGCTGACGACGAGGTTGACCGCCGCGTCGCTCTGCCGCAAAGAGGTCTCCAGCCACGACCGCTGGGTGGGCCCCAGCACCTCGCAGAAGGACGACGACGGCCAATACTCTCCGCCGTCTGCCGTCAGTGTGTGTGTGGCGGCGTTGTAGGCGAGAGGGCGGCGACCGAATAGGGCAGAGGTGGGGTCACACGCCTCCTCATAAAGAGGGCTCTGCTTGGAGGACGCCTGTGGGTGGGGGAGGGGGGGGGGGGGGG